TTTTTTTTTTTAATAGGGATCTTGTGTCTTGTAGATGTTTGTGTTCGAATTCGGGTGATGCAGGGCGGAAGTTCACAGGTTAAGCAAAGTCGAGTGCTTAAAAATACATGTACAGCGGTATACAAAGAAGCTGTTATGTTTTTGATCAAAACTAGTCAAGAAGCTCTCAGCGATACATCAATTATTCTGTCTGTGCATGATTTGTCCAGGTTTGGAGTGCTTTTTTTTCTTCAACTTTTATTTACACATCACGAGTTTTAATTAAGAGTACGTTATTTTTGGCTTAATTTTGCACGTATCTGTACCATACGGGACAAGGAGTACTCATAATTAAATTACCATAAAGAAACACTCAAGGTTGACAGGAAGAAGAATGGAATGGAAATGATAAAGCGAAATAAGCAGATTAGTGTCGATAGCAGTAACTAGAAAACCCAGATTCATAATCGCATGTTTAAACAGTGGTTAAGCTGGGAGGATTAATGAAGTCATAAACATAAATAAGCCAAAACCTTTTTCGTCTATAATGTTAAGTGAACTAAGTTCGTCTCCCTTACATCCTAACTAAATAAATCACGTTTTTTTTTTTTTGTTTACTTCCTCAGCGTCGTTTTCATTACTTATTTTGTCATTTTTCTTTTCCTGGGCGCGTTTTCAGGACAGTCACTGGAGATGATTTGATCGGCCTTGCGTATCTCGGGAAAAATGCTCAAGACAAGTCTGAGATTGAACAATGGAAGAATACTAGTGAACATCTCGGTAAGGAATACAAGGGAGTGCACCATCTGAAACCGACACCTCGGGCTCCAGATGTACAAGTTGAACATGCGCCATCCGACTCTGAATAACGGCGTACAACTGCAGCGATGCAGAAGCAAGGAAAAAAAGTACTGTGAAAAAATACTGATCCACTTATTCTTTCCATTCTAGTATTCCGTTGTTTTCTCTTCTCTTGTTTTTGTTTTCTTTTTTTTTTCTATTTGTCTCTACTTTTTGTTCCTTTGTTTTCTATTTTAATTGTTTTTGAATGTATAACATATCCACTATGAGCTTTTAATGAATGATTAATTTTTGGTGACAGGTTATTTAGTCAGTCACACATCCAAGCACTCGAAATGTTTTTCTTTTAATTTTCTTGCCTCTCACTTCTACATTTCCTCTTCTATAAACCCATCCTTACATTCAACGCTTCATCGCTACTTTTTTAATTAAACGTTTTTGGGAGAGCATTTGAAGTGGGGACAAATAAACAAGAAAAAATTTATGAGTTACTCAGCTGTCAAGTCTTATTACAGGGGAAAACAAAACCTACGGAACTTTTTAACTCTTCAGAAAACCTCGAAAAAAAAAAAAAAGACTAGAAAATATCAAGTTAATTTTCAAAGGATTTATTGTGGCTTTTCGCAGTTTATTTATTCTATCTTCCTTCTTTCCGCATATATCCCTTATCCGTTCCATCTGCCACCTCTAACTTCTTTTATTTCATGCCTGAAAACGTCAACTGAAATAACAGAATATTGATCTAAAAGTGGGAATAAAATTTACATTTTATATGCTTGGTAAAGCTGAGACTGACTTCTCAAAAAGGAAAAATCTGTTGTTTTGAAAAAAAAATTTTTGTTGTTTGAGAACAGTGGCTATTAACGGGTTGTTCTATACATATACATATATACATATAATATATATATATATA